CTCCTTGCTCACACACAAGATATGTCAGGGGCTGCCTTGAGAGGGCAGTAACTCACCACACTCATCCTGACCTGATCTGATTGGCTCCCACAAAACAGAAGTGAGGAGAAATCATGGGATCATGAGTAGGACTTGACTTGAACGAGAAAACTGTTACCAATTGTCTGTTGCTTACTGAAGGTCCGTCTTAGAAGGAATCATCATGTTATTAGAAAATTTTTTATCCCGTTGTTTTCTAGGTAGTCCTGAAATAGGTACTCATTTGAAAGTTTTCATAGACTTGCTGTCATAGAAAATAAGACCATAAAGTTTCACACAGTATTCTGGGTTTTTGTTCGATTGAAGCCTTAAAAAAATTTATTTTATAAGGATTTTTATATACTAATTCTCCCCCGGTTTTCCCCTTCTTCAAGATTCTTCTTTTAAAGGGTGGCACTTTTGGTTGTTTGGTTTTTTCTTTCCTTTTAAAGAAGAATATTTTCAATACAACCTAGTGAAGTAATATTTACTGATTGCATTCCTTTTCCCTTAGGGATAAAGAACTAAAGAAAAGCTTTGAAGTAGTAAGACACAAAAATAGAGAGGTAGGGATGAGATTTCAAAAAAACAGGCCCTCAAACTTCAGCTGTGCTTGAAAATCAGAAAAGCAACCCCACACAGTACAATTAAGGAATGGTCTTTGCTCTTTGCTAACAACCCTCCTAAGGTAACTAGACTCCAGTGAAGCACCATGAGCAGCCATTCATTGCCTCATCTCAGCTAGCTAGATTCACAGCAGTGATGCAGACCACTCTAAGAAATCAGCCCTATTGCACTTTGGAAGTTTCCAGTGTCACTACTCCTCTTTATGTATAGTAGATTTAGGGGGGAATTTCTCATTGTGATACAACAACAAAACAACCAACCAAATCAAAACCTCCAGCCAGTGGTCATTTGAATATCTCTTTCTGTTCGGACACTGAGCCATCTTAAGGACTGACTACCTCAGATTTGCTGCATTCACTGTGGACTCCACATGGATTACAACTACTGGATAAGAAGGTGATATCCAGCAAGTGTCCATACAAAATTTGAAACCGGCTCTACTGGATTCCTAGCAAATCCAACAGAAAGTCAGCCATCTGGGTTCTGAAGTGACCTTACTTAACCTGCCCTGTGCCCCCTCCTTGAGGAATACTTTCTGTCATAGGCTGGGGCTATGTTAGACTTCTGGAACATGCTGCTTTCTAAAGGACTGATGTGTTCAGATTATTTGTGTAGGGCTGTGATTCATACTTTAAACCATAAAGTTGTATTCTGAAGTAACCACAAATTCAACCATTCTTGAGTCCACCAAGGAGGGAATGGGTTGGGGTAATTTTGTTTCTTCTAGTAATCTTCTTATATGGGTAGTGCTTTTTTTATGTTTTACAAATAAGTTTGTGCTCGCGCTCTCTCTCTCTCTCTCTCTCTCCTCTCTCATTTTCTACATTGCTTTGACTTGGTAAATGTTTTTTAACAGAGAATATTGTTTTGATTGGTACTGTTACATGAATTTGCCAATCTTTAGACTGGCACCAAAAAGCCTTTGATTAAAAGGATAGTGGTTGGCGATTAGGGATTCCTACTTCAGGTGCTGCTAAAGTCTTAGTTGGGTCTCAGTTGAGTAGGAAAGGGCAGGCTGAAGGTTTCATTAACTGTTCTTTTTTTATTTCTTTTTTTTAAATTTAGGTTGTTTATTTTTCATTTCAATGAACATCTACAGAGATTTTGGGATTCCATTC